ACAATTGGCGTGTGGGATGTGCAATATTCAAGTAGGAAACATTTTCTTTTCAATAGAAACTCTCTCCTTTACACCACAAGTGACATGCTGGCATGGCTGAAAAGTCATATATTTTGTAGGAAAATCATTCAAATGTCGAAATTGAGCACTTCTTCTAGAGGAAATAATTTGTTACGATATTTTAACTTCCAGCTATTATTGCCATGCATCTTTCCTCTTCACACTGCAGCACTGCTAATCCCCCACTCCTCTCTTCACACTGCACCGCTTTAAAGACTGCACCGCTGCCAAGACTGCACCGCTATAAAGACTGCACCGCTGCAAGACTGCACTGCTGCAAAGACTGCACCGCTACAAAGACTGCACCGCTACAAAGACTGCACCGCTACAAAGACTGCACCGCTTTGAAGACTGCACCGCTTTAAAGACTGCACCGCTACAAAGACTGCACCGCTACAAAGACTGCACCGCTGCAAAGACTGTACCGCTGCAAAGACTGCACCGCTTCAAAGACTGCACCGCGTTAAATATGTTCTGCACATTGGAGCACCGCGGTCGTGACGCAGGGCGGCAGTCGTGCGTAGAGTTTTGCAGCGCGGCCACTCAGCGCCTCATTAGCGCTCATCAACTCGGATTACAGGAAAAGTTAACCCCACTCGTAGCTCCTGAATCTCGAGGCCGAGCAAGCCACAGGGAATTATAATCCAGATCTCTGCTCGGACGTTCCGCAATACACCATTTTACTGCAAGTTTTTCTTCCAAAGTTCATTAATTTGCTACTCGACTGCACATTTCTGCTCCACAGTTCCTCAATTTGCTGCTAAACTGCACATTTCTGCTCCACAGTTCCTCAATTTGCTTCTAACTGCACATTTCTGCTCCACAGTTCCTCAATTTGCTTCTAACTGCACATTTCTGCTCCACAGTTCCTCAATTTGCTTCTAACTGCACATTTCTGCTCCACAGTTCCTCAATTTTCAAAATAATTGCAAATTTAAGACACATTAATGTTAACGGCGTCAAAATTCATTTATTCCAACACAGTTCCTTGTACGATTGCTGTAGTTTGGTTCTCGCCAATTCCAATTATTACTAAATCCCAACTTCTTCACAGCGCCTTCTCATCCATGTTTTGTGATGAAAAGCTGAAGCTGCCATCTGTCATCTCTATAATTTTATAAATTAGAGGTGTCATTGATTAAATTATTGAACCTTATATTCATAGTAAAGCTCTCGCCACCAACACGGCGGCCGAGATCTGGGTTTCAAAGCATTATTACCATGCATCATCTTCAGTTCGGAATGCTGCACAAATGCTCTACTTAATTCTCTATGAAATACGTGTGTTGCTAATAAATTATAAAAATTCTCGTGCATGATCAACTGAAGTTGGTGATTTTTTCTTGTATACTTCTCTTCTCATACTCTAAAATAATAATTCATGAATATTGATGACTTGAATACTTGATGTATATGGGTAGCTGGTCGCCCTCTCTTGTGTACATTAGCAGTCTGTACGCGCTGAGGCTATATTGCGTACATACAACATACACTGAGCGCACTGTCTTCTCAGAAAAGCTTTGTAAGCCATGAGTAATGTTAGTGTATAAAATGTGTTTTATTTCAACTCTTATTTATCTCGCACGTTTGAAGGAATTTCAAAACTATGAATTCGCTGGATAATTTCTGAATAATTTCTTGCAGTCGTTTTTTTTTTGCAACTTGCGATAGTTGTTCTCGTTTTTCGTCAATCACTGTTCAATATGAACCCAATTAGCGAATGTATTTTTCATACAATTAGAAGTATTTTAATTATGATTGTTTATTATTTTACGTTCTTACTGAAATATTTTCGTATTTCATCGGTATTTTGTATAAATAAACTGCCTATGTAATTACTGACTGTTTCAGCACAAGAAAATCGTAGGAACACAAAATTGCCAATTTATCATCCATTAATGTATCAAAATTTTGGGCATTATTTCATTACTCACCAGACAACTGACGTTGAATCAATGTTGACATAATTTTATTTAGTTGAATCAACGTTAGTTAAACGTTGATCCAACGTCTTTTTAGTATTGGGTATTTGCCAAGCATCAAGAATTGAACAAACTTAATTATCCAATTATAGGCTATATATTGACACTTTGAGCCTGCAGAGCTGTCGCCACTCTGTGTCATTGTCAGTTTCGTGAAACAACTAACGCCTGAATTGTTTCGTGGGTTCGAGTCTCAATTATTCACGTCGCTGCTTCAAGCCTTCACAAAGGAAGTAATTTTTACAGAGAAAATTAGTTCATTTTGACCCCTGTAGGTCTTTTTGATCAGCATAGGCCTCTTTAAATCAGGAGCTTTATATCGACAACAAAATATTTTTTACATCGTCAATTTAATTTAACCCTTTCGAATTTAATTTTTTACCGCATTCGTATTATTCACAAAGTTTTTTTTCTTTAGCGCATGTGGGTTGTTTTTACGCAGTAAAGTTAATGATAGTGTAAGCCAATCCACGTCCCAAGTCTTTAATTGTTCAATCGAGTTTCGATGACAGTGATGCATTGAAATATAATTATTAATCTAGTACGTATTCTACATAAGTAATATTCGGTGATATAATCTTTTAGAGTGTCATTATTTATGTTATTATGAATAAATGCTGCCCATATTGTAGGGTTATATTCAATGTATCTCTATTACTATGCGCTATAGCCATCGCTCTATATATGACACTTGGGTATGCGTCTATGCTGCTTAGATTGTCCTTTTATTCTATAGGTGGCTGTTGCGACGGTGTTTGTTGTATATGAAATGAATTATGAGAGGCAATAAAATACACAATTCTATGCCAGACTTTCATTACTCACCATTTTTTCTTGATTTTAAAAGTCTCATTCATCCAGGAATTTTACCTGTGTAATTTGTACGGTGAAAGTTCTTCTTTATAACTACTAAAATTGTTTTTATGCGTTAAAATGCAATTTGTTGATTAACCTTACGTCCAAAACTCGATTTTTCCATGGAGACATACCTACGTTATATACCTCGTATATAACGTAAAAACTTTCATACACATTACACAATAGAGAATAATTAAGAACATCTTTTCATACTTTTCTCAATTGTGAAAAATCCAAAATGTTCCACTGCTTCGCACTCTGCTGTTCCACTTTATCATAATTAAATGCTCACGTTTGCCTAAAACCCCTTACATTTGCCGTAAGTTTTCCTTTTGTTGTTTTCCTTTTTGTGGGCGCCAGTCTTCCATCACACTGATGAATCTACCACCTCGCAAAAATAGAGCGCATTTTGGACCGTCCTAATTACAGCGAGAAACCAAGCCTCGTGATGAGCAGCTAGCCTTGCAGTGGGTCCTACGCAACCGACTTTTGTTGCGCGCCAGAATAATGGGCCGCGGTTGGCATTGGACGTTCAGGACTCGCGGCTTTTTCGCTTTGATTTTCAAATTCTCAACATTGACTAGCCGAATTATCTTGCATGAATAATTTCCAAGAAGGTACGTTCCTGAATAATTTGTAGCGGACTTTAACAGAAAAATGTATGGAACATTTCCTGTGATGTACATGTGAGATTAGTTATCCACGAAAAAGAATTGAATTAACGGTTGTCGACATGCATTAAAATATTTAATGCCATGGTTGAACTAATATGAGGTTGACCCACGGGTATGACGATTTTTCGCCGTTCTGCGCATCTCTTGATTGACGTCACTGTGGGCACGAAATATAAATAGTGTATATCAACATATTGTTTACATGCAACTAGTCTTATTTTAAGCAAAACCAATGTCACAAATCAGTTTGACGTCACGCGGTGACGTCACAAGAGCCAAGGTGACGTCACAGTTGGAATAACAAATGACATCCGCAAGGCGCAGCTGCACTAGGGGAAAACCTTGTAAGTTCCCCCATGGATAAAATTAATCTCATTAAAATTGACAAAAACAATTTATTTACTGTAACTCGTATTATTTTAAGCAAAACGGGTGTTACAAATTAGTTTGAATCACACCCCGACGTCACATGGTGACGTTACAACGACCAAGATGACATCACGGGTGCAATAGCAATAACAAATGACATCCGCAAGGCGCAGCTGCGCGTGGGTCATCCTTGTATTAGTTCAAACAGGGTTAAATGCTAGGCCATAATGTCACCAATTATATTATCGAATTCCATTTTAAATGTTTCCAACATAATCGTCTGCAATTGGGATGCCCATATCATGCAGAGACCATACAGTATATTGCATAGAACCTGAATTGTAGAGAATACCCACTAACGTAAAACGATCTATACATAATAAATAATAATAGCGGTTTCAGCGTTTATTAGGCCGTAGGCCTGTCGCCGATTCTTAACATCGCAGAACATTCACAGCATTTTGCGGTCTCGAACTCACAACTCACTGCTACAATTTTGCTTTGCTTAACCGCCCGGCCTCCTCGCCGATTCTGACCAGAAACTGGCGCACAGAGCTGGGATCGAACCCGCGCCTCTCTGCGCCAATCACGGTACTCTGAACTGTAACCACTGGGCCACCCTGCCAGTGGTTAACGCATTGATGAAATAATAATGAAATAATCACGCAATCACCCACTAACGCATTGATGAAATAATTCGTACTACGTACAAATAATATGTATGAAAATCACCATACCTGCAAAAAGTGCCGAACAACGCATTTCAAAAATAGTAGTTTCTCACGGATTCAAACATGAAGGAAAATATTGACATTAGTATAATCCCCACGTAGTTGTGGAGATGCCAGGACGGAAGGCGCAACAACGAGGTGAACATATATTTGGTTAAATATACGGTAAATTTTATCATCCAGATGCATTTTGTAAATTTATAAATATAATTCATCACATTTATTTGTGAATTTTGCATAGGTGTGAACTTGCTGGCAAAAATTCCTGAACAAAAATTAGGTAACTCTTATAATTTTTTGCCGTAAAATTTGTCTTGCAATGTTTTGAATGCATGTGTACGACGCGCGTCCAGTGGTAGATTTTAAATATCGCCACAATTATAAATATAAACAATGGATTCTACATTAAGTTTTGCTGGCCAAAGCAATAAATGGAATACAGCAGATGACGGTAAAAATTTTAATGCAATATAAGAGTGTAAATTTTATGTATACTATATAATATAGCCTATATAGGTATATAAATGAACGGTTAAATTTGCGATAGAAAATGGAATTGATTTCGAGCAAAATCAATATAGGTAGTGATTAGGTACCTACCTACATGATCATCCCCTAAAAGTAAAACCATCACTGTTGAGGTCTCCTCAAACTAAAATTAAAAAATTCACTAAATCAAATTTATTTCAGTGATTAAATAATATATTTTACCTCCAAATTCCAATTATACATTTTGCTCCATACTATCTTTATTACCATAAAATGGCGTTACTTTGATCACTTTTCGTTTTTTTAACAAAAACCTCCAAAACTCAAATACGATTTGACATAGAAAAATTTTAGCAAAGGCCTAATACTGAGGCCACGTAACACAATAGAAAGATTTAAAAAGTTTGCATATCTAATAGGTTAAAAAATTGATAATGTGACCCACAAAAAAGAGCTAGGCCTATTAGCCTATTTAAAGCCTGTCGGAGTACCCCCTCCAATTTTTTTATTTTTTGGTAAAATAAACTCCAGGTTTTGATGCATTGTAGTAGAACTCTTCTAGTTAGGGTAAACGCGGTATATTCCGACACTTTAAGGACGCATCGAGAAATGAAAAACCATAAAAAAAACGTATGCGTTACGTAAGTTCTGTTGCCTTTACACGACTCTCAAAACACTTCACTACGCGTCAGCAACGATGAAACGTCACAAAATGTTGCCATATTTATTAAAAAGCCTTTAGAATGGAAACCTACCAAATCCCTATATTCC